TTCCCCGATCCATAACCAAGACTTTGTCATAGTCCATGATGGTGCTCAAGCGATGGGCGATGGTAATCACTGTAGAATCTTGAAATCTGTTGCGTATAACTTCTTGAATCAGACGATCTGTTTTGTAATCCACATTAGCAGTGGCTTCATCCAGTATTATAATCTTGCTTTTCTGTAACAGCGCACGCGCTAAACAGACCAGTTGACGCTCGCCAACACTGAAATTGGTCCCAGATTCTTTCAACTTGTACTCTAGTTGTTCAGGTAATTCTCGCACCAGGGTCTTCAACTGTACTTCTTCCAAGGCGCTCCACAGGTTATGATCTTCGTGCAAATAGAATGGATCTAGGTTCCTTCTGAGGCTGCCGCTGAAGAGGACAGGATCCTGAGTTATAACAGCCATGGATCTGCGAGCCGCCTGCAGATTGAGATCTTTGATGTTGACATTGTCTATGATCACCCGTAAAAGAAAGTACAATGCATTTGAACAATTTTGTTTCATCACTTTTCTGGCATGGACTAAACATGAAAGAGTCCAACCTCTTGTGCTCTGTTGGCACTATGTTGATGTTCGCACTTATAAAACTAGCCCATAAGACTTAGGATACAACAAGGAATGCGCCTGCAGGTGCACAACGTTCACATCCCCAGAGCTGTTATCCGTGAGGTCAACGTTCCGGATCGAGCGCACTGGCTAGGGCCAATGCAAGTAGTTCCCAAATCAAGAACCTCCGCTTTCTTCGCAACCTCAGAAATTTGAAACAAAAAGGGTTATTATTGGTTATTACTACTGCGCCTGCGTGTCATCCTGGTCCCAGACAGAGCTCTCGATCCGTGGCGTTGGCCAAAAGGATCACAGCTCTTAGAACAAGAATGGTTGGGAAGGCTTTTATGAGAAAACGAACACCCAGGAATCATGAAACAATAATGTCGAGACTTATTAACTCCAAAGTTTGGTCATTTTCAAGCGTTTTCAAGAGCTTCCAGCGACACCAAAATATGTTGCTGCCAACAACAACGTTTCGGTGGGTCTTAACAAGAAGACAAGAAGAAGACAATTCTTACTCTGCCTTCTGGCTCTGGCATTCGGAACAAAGCAGCCACCAACGACGATTTTCCAGCTCCAGTGCGACCTACTACTCCAACTTTTTCCTTAGCAGCGATGCAAACGTTTGCGCCGTTCAAAATTGATGGAGCCCCTTCCAAATATGTCAACGACAAGTCGTGTAATGCCATGGAGCCCGCTGTTGGCCAGTCTTCAGGAGGTCGGGTTTCTGAGGAGTATCCAGGCTCTGGATCGATTTCAGTGTAGGTGAACACTCTTTCCACTGACGTCATGTAATTCTCTGTCTCCGACGCGTGATAAATGCCAAACTGTGCAGCTTCTAATGTCTCCAATGCGAATGCCAGAGACATTCCTGCTAACGCTGCAAACATGATCATGATATATATGAGCATATTGATGAAATTGTGCTGCGCATCTCTAGCTAGTATAGGGAAAACAAGACGTGTTCTTGATGGGGGACTTTAATCTCAACCTTTTAAAAATCCTTTCTGAAAGGGCAAGTAACCGATCCGCAACTTCTAATTCTTCTGTAAAAATACTTTGCCTCAGCTCTTCGTAGGGAAGTTCTTCAATAAATCGTTTGAATTCATTGCGCAAAATGCATGTAAAATCATCCGCCATGATGGAGGACTAAAAAGAGACTGCGAACCAACCCTTTGCCAAGCGACCGCCCCTGCACCTTTCAGGATTGCATGACAAGTTTTATATAATCGTGAAAAGTTTTATATTTTTCAACAAGTTTTATATATTTTGTAACAAGTTTTAATTGTGCACTATAACCTTAATACTAAAATTAAGAAGTTTTATTCATAAAGCAAAATGTTTTATATATTTAATGTAAAGGTTTACATATGGTAAGAAGTATTTTTGATACAAACGGTATTCCATAGATACTCACCTGGGCTTTGTGTAGCCAACATAGCTCCAACTGACACAGATGTCACCAAAACGATACTTATTAAATCTCCACGGAAACCAAGCCAGCGGTTTGATGTCAGTAGCATTATCAAGGCTGATGTGTTTTTGTGTTGGTAGCTATAAAAAAAATTGTCGCAGAAAAAAAATGTGTTTGCCTCTGCTTTCTCTTGTTGCCAGTAGTTTAGAGGCAAGGTGTGTTCAATAGAAACATATCCGCGTGCGGGTCTACAGTTAGATGTTCATCATACTGTAGGGAAACTATAACCATTTCATGTATGTCAGGAACAATTATTTTAACTTGTCAACATGCAAACCGGAATGAAAATATATGAATTGAACCTACCCACATTCGTCAGAATGTCACACCGATCGCTCCAATAAACTTTAAGTGACTTACTCGAAAAATCTATGCAGGAAAGCATCTTCCATCTTTGATGAGCGAATTACTTCACATCCTACTACGGTATCGGCAATGAGGGAATAAACAGGGCTACAAGTCACTGCCTCGAGCCTCCTGATTTCCCGAGAAGATTTCAAATAATACTTTGCAAGGTAGATAAACAACATTGTCAGTGGAACACAAGAGATAAATAACCACACGTTTACTACAGCAGACAGGATGGTGGCACTGAAAAAGTATAAACAACAAGCACTGCAGTGAGAGATTGTGGAGGAAGCATGATGTCCATACTACCAATGTCTTTAGAGAAGCGATTTAAGATACGACCAACCGGGTTTGTGTCAAAGAAGATGACTGGTGCTTCAATAACTGCTTTAGTCATCTTGTTATGAAGATTTTCTGATGCCTTTAAAGCTGTCAGATAAAAGCAAAATGAGGATACAACTGTAAACACCAAGGACAATGTGACAATGGATCCATACACTAGGAGCGTGGTATAGTCCTTCTGTTTTTCTTTTGGCATGTCGATCATTCGTGAAACCCACCAATACGGAGCGATCCATAAAACTGAAACAACAACATAGAAACAAATTATTTATTTGATTCAACGGTGTCTAGTTATTCTTGGTTTACGAGAAGTGGTTTACTATAAAGGTAATTAATTAATTAATTAATTATCTTATAATAAAAATAGAACTGAGTGGAGTACAATTCTGCCTGTAATTGTACCACAACAAAATCGGACGACCTCGTAGCACGAGTCTGATTTGTATAATTACGAGCATGCTTACAGACCGAATTGGACGACAAAAAGTTCTCTTACCAGTGCATCATAACAAAAACAAAATCAAAAAGCAGCACAACATATTGCTAGCGTTTTTCATTCTAGACGTGAAAACAAACAAAGAAACAAATCAAAAACAGGAAGTCCCATCGAAGTCCTATTACAGCGCCCAAGGCGCATGACGATTACTGTAATATTACGCTGTCATGTTCATACCTTGGGCGAAAGCGAAGAAGCAGGCAAGGCTAAAAATAAGACCAGTCGAAAGAGAGGCTCTAAAGTATTTCCAATACAATCGCCATTTTACAGTCCCAACCATTCGATCCTCTTCCTCTTCTTTTAGATCCACTCTCTCTCCAAGTTTATGGACAATATTGACGCTCTTAACAGCTTCATCTTCACCAAAAACGTTTGCATGACCATCTATGTCAGTCTCTTGACTTCTTTGAGAAACAATAGACAAATTTCTCATCCTTTCTTTCTCCATGTGACCAAAGGTACCTTGGTACTCTACGGAACCATTGTGAAGTACTACAACGTTGTCTGTATGTTGGAGGAACTGTGATTGGTGTGTCACCAAAATACGCACCCTCCCAGCTAGAAATCCGTCAATACATTTTTCAAACAAATGTTTGCCGACTTTGGCATCCACTGCACTGAGAGGATCATCTAGTAAGTAGATATCAGCATCTGAGTAAATTGCGCGTGCCAGACTCACTCGTGCACGCTGACCGCCACTCAGGATTACTCCACGTTGCCCTATCTCCGTGAGATCACGTTTTGGAAATCGTGATAGATCTTTTCCTAGGTCGCAAACTTCGATGATCTTATTAAACTTTTCTCCCACGAAAGGCATACCAAATACAACGTTCTCTCTCACCGTGCCAGAATAGACCCAAGGCGTTTGGGAGACGTAAGCCATTTTTCCAGTACAAGACATTTGAGCAGATGATATTGGAATTTCCCCCAATATGGTCATCAATAAAGAAGTTTTGCCACTCCCTACTGGTCCAGTTATACCTATAAGTTGCCCACTAGAAGCTTGCAAAGAAACGTTTTGTAATGCTGGGCGATCTGACGAATAGTTCCACAAACTGGAACTGGAACTGTGGTTTTCAAGCACAGCTTGAGGTTGAACAGCTTGGAATTCCTTTATCCTTTGAAGACTCATCAAGGCTGGTTTTTCTGCTTTGAAACTCTCTGTTCTAACTAAGTGTGGTTTATATCTCCTGCCTTTAAAATAAACTTTTAAAGGAGACATATTCTGTCGTTTGCTTATTTTAGATTCGATGACTGGTTTCGTTTCCAACAACTTCTGCATTCTTCTTAATGCAATCATCGAGTCTGCAATCCATATTAAACTGTCTCCAATAAAGGCTGTTACAAAATACTTAATATTCGCTAAAATTGAAAGCAGTGTGAACACCGTGAATGATGTCAGGCTGTGTTCGGTGAAAACCAGTGTTGCAACTGATAGAAACCCTGCGATGGTGTGGCTAATGAAGAACAGGACGTAGATAGTGGAGATAAAAAAACCCACGGACACGAATCAGAGACATTTCTTTTCTGCAAAATAGTATTTTTGTTCATAAGAGTTCAAGTAGTCAGATCGTCAACCTTCCTTTTAAAATTTTGAGCACACGGTGCTCTCGCATATAAAAGAGTTCATTTTAAAACAACTGCTGTAATAGTCTCTTGCACTGCATGCACTCTACCTTAATGAATGATACGGGTAATTCACTTGAAACTTTATTTTCACACTGAACGGACCAAACGCTGTTGTAATTTCATGTCAGCTGGCTGGTTTATGACAAGATACTATGGGCGTCATATTTACTTGCTACCCTGCCCAACCCTTTATGTTCCTGCATGGTGTAGCTCAGGCATGGCCAAGAGGCTGAGGGTTGAAAGAATTTGAAAGTCCTGTTCTACCACATGCTAACCCTGCGATGACGTAGCATCAATGTTAGGGACAGAAAACTTGAAAAGCGGAAACTAGCAGACCAACTAGGTTTGTGGGTGGGGTTGTAAGTGAATAACCCTCTTTCATAGATGATTAACATTTAGTGTGAAGGTGAATGGGAGGTGGTCAGTGCATGCAATAAGCGTGAATCCTCTTTAATGCAAATTGTTCAAACCTTCCGACTTCAAACTAACAAAGTAACATTCTTGTTAAACAATAAACTAACAGAAACTACTAACCGTCTCAATTGTGCAACCAGTTTCCTGAAGTTTCCCTCCCAAGCGTACATTTTCACCAAACGGATCCCAGAAACAATCTCTTTTATTACCTCCAATCTTCTATCAGTTTGTGTGGCAGCTTTAGCGCGAATCGTTCCAGATTTATGAGCTGCTAGGGTATCATAGACAATGACTAAGACGAAGAAGAAAACTCCTATCAGAGCTTGCCAGGCTACTAAATACCATAGAAGAATCAAAGCAAGTATTACATCCAGGATTGCAAATGACGCATTGAAAGCATGATGTCCCAATTTCTCAATGACTTGGGCGTCGTTGGAAACAAGATTAATTGTGTTTTCCGAAACGCTGTCTTCTAAGACACATCTGTTAACGGAAAGAATCTAAAAAAAGGAAAACAAAAGATACAAAACACTTTGTTACTTACTGTACCTAGCCTGCGGACACAGACGTATTTGCGGTCGTAGCGTCTCTCCCTTCCCCGAGAGTTACTTTTCGGGTGGAGAGAAGCGACGACCGGAAATACCGCGTCTGTGTCCGCAGGATATTACTTATCATCCCGTGTCTTATCACTGCGCGTTGGAAAGAAGTTACAACTATCTTTTCCATTAATTTCTTGAATTCTGAAGAACAGGTTAAATCTTCTTAAGAGAAATCCGTTAACGGATTTTCCAATGCTAATATAGAATCGTCAAGGCAATTCAGGCTTTTTTCTGCTTTTGGAACATTTCACAGACGGTAGTAACTGGTCTGCATGAGTACATTCCAGCGGGCACATGACCCTATGTAGTGTCTCTGTGATGTTATTTTGGGTGAAAGAAACAACCATACACTGACCGCCAATTCAATTATTATAACGTGCTTGGAAAGGAGAAAACTAATGTCGATTACTCAAGACGAAAAGTTTAAGGGCGATGGTGACAATTTAACGAAAAAAGATTGATCTTACGTTCCTTTGAGCTTTTCAAACTTTGTAAAGAGTTCCACGAGTATTTTCTTACTTGATTTAAGACTAACCCCAATAATTTTTTTTTAGTCATATTTGATAAATATATATACCTTTTTGTAAACCAGACCAACAACAGCCACTTTGAATCTAACTGAACACATTTCTCCCTTGAATAACCCGTGCGTTGCAAATATATTTCGTGCAACTGAGGTCACAGAAATACAGACCACAAAAGGCAGGGAGGATGCGTAACTTATTTCACTGCTACCTGAAGAAATGCTTTTCAAGAAAAGCCAAACCATTAAAGGGAGGAGATTCATTGATAATGAATAAAATATTCTCAAGAGGGCCAAAATAATGTATTCTCTGTAAGGAATTATCTTCAGCATGGCCCTCCATAAGCGAGGCTTTGTTCGTGTTTGTTGGGACCATCGCACTTCTGCTGACCACTCCTTCTCCAAGAAATCAACAAGGTCCTTTGCTTGAAATGAACGTTCCAGTGGAAACAAGTGCTTCTCCTCCAGAGGATGCTTACTGCCCAGTTTTAGAATATCACTCAGCCATGAGAAAGTTAACAATGAAATAAACCCTGCTGTCTGTCTTGGGTTTTTATTTGAAGCGTCTTCCATAACTCTTTCTTTAGTCGAACTCATTGAAAAAATATAGAAACAAAGATTACTCGAGAGTTTCTGCTATGAATTTACTTTAAAGTCTAATGGGTGAAATCATGTTGTGGCCCCAGTAGTTCAAAAGGTGGATAGCGCAATCCACCGGAGAAATCACTATCCAGTAGATAAGTATAAGGGAAACGAACTGCGCTATCCAGTGGATAGAAATTTATCCGACGGATATATTTCTGTTTAGGGAAGGTGTGCAGAATAATAACTTTCACCCAACTATAGCCGAGAGAAAAGGGAAGAACTTGAAAACTTCTGTGATCTGTCCGACTTGTTGCATTTAACTATGAAATCAATCCCCTTCCTTTTAACCCTTCGCAAACGATATATGAGTTGGGGGACACTGATTTCATTTGGAATTTACTATTTATGAAAGTCACCTTAATTCTCCAAGGCCAACCTGACTATAACAGTGTGTCAATATCATGTCCACACTGACACACAAATCTGTAGTTTGACGCGTGCCATTTATGAAAAGTACGGGATAGTGCGCAGACTAGAACTGCGCAGTTAAGAGCTCATTGTTTTAATACTCCGCCATGTCTGCAAATGTAAACATATATTAAGTTTGTGCGCGGGCGGTATCTGTTCGGTCATCCTAGCACAACTTCAACCTTTTCGAAATTACAAAGGCTTCGGTATTACTTTCCCCAAAATTTTAGATGCAATTTACAGTTTTGTGAAAATGAGAATTTTTCGAATTCCTCTTCGAATCAGAAAATTAGTTTTCCTTTTTCTACGAAAAAAAGCTTGTATTTGGGGGTGAAATGCGTAAACTTAAACTTCAGAAAATCTTAGAGACAGGCTACGAAACAGTGACTGGGTGCCCCTGGTACCTACGGAAGGCTTGCTTTGAAATTTAGTTTGCTACAACGAATGGCAATAATTTTGTCTTAGGAAAATACTAAAAGGAAAAAGGAAACGGCCCAAAAGGAATTAATTAGGCTTACTAATAAACGATTATAGAATGCAGTCATTTGCAGCAGTGCATATTGCAAATTGATGAACCCAAGAGTGGTTTGTCAGTAAGTCTGATTAACCTTTTTTGCATTCGCAGTTTTCTATAACGGCGTTATTGCAATTAGGTGTAACTACAGCAAATTATGCAGGCATGATTGATTTCTTGCAACCCAGACCTAAGGATAAAACAATCGCACAGTCATGGTGATGAGTAGCTTAGCTCGGATGACTAACCAGTGACCCGAGTATATTTATTAAAAATATCCGTCCTTTCGAATTCTTTCGACAGTAGTCAACATGCATTCTGAATGAAAAGATGTCAATTTTGTCAGATCACGGCTTTAATAAGAGGTTAAATTTTTATCTAATGGTTGTGCATATTTAAATGTTTTCAAAACGCCCTCGAGCGTTACCAAGCATAGTATATTTACTATTTCGGCAATGCACCTTTTTAAAGTAACTTTGATGCAATACTCTCTTCTAAGCTTCCCCAATTTTGCCAGCTCATTCGACTGTGTACTGGCGTACTGCTCATCAGACAAGAAGAATTTTGTGAAAAGTTATGTAACCTGAGTAATACTTTTTCATTTCTTCCAGTGCTATGCTCCTGAATAAATAAACGGCCCGGCATTACAGTTGCAGTTCTAAATGAAAACTAATTCCTTCTTATATGAAAAATAATTGAAGAAACTCACCTTGTACAACTTAGAAAGACAGCACATTCTGTATTGTATGCAGGCGAATTTACATGTAAATCCAAAGGACATACTCATCCGGAACCAAAACTCGTGGTGTTCAGAACTTGCCTTTGTATTCCCGGACGGCCTAGGTCGAGAGCTCGTTTTCGCGCGAAAGCGAGGCTCTTCTGGGGGACTCTCAGGGAGAAGACAAACAAACATGAGAAAACAGCGGTCAAATTTAATACCGAAAAACAAAGAAGACGTTTCACGTTGGAGGGTCTCATAGGCTCAGACTTACCTGTGGGCTTGAGAGATCATTATTTCAAACAACTGAAAGAAGATCTGCTCGACATCACGGAAAAAATAAAGTCTAAAATTAAGGGGGGATTCTGGTCAAAAGCCTTTTTTTCGTTTATTTCTTCCCGGCCTTTTTCTTCCACATCTAGCCAAGATCTCACTTAAACAACAAAATGGTTCTATAAGGTCGTTGTATAGTCATTGGTTCAATAAATGGGTGAGAATTCTTGGATGATTTTTGGCATGTTTTTAATGAATACAAATTGGACAGGGATGTTTATAATTATGGAAAATTAGAAAATATTAGGTTTTGGGGGCTGAATAAAATTTAGCCTGCGTAGCAAGCGTTTCCGTGAGTAACGAACGAGGAACGAGACTTTAAAATATGAAGGGAGTAATTAGTACACAAATACCAGATAGTCCCGTGACCACCCCAAAAAGTTGCCCCTGAGCTCATTAGCGGACTGACTAGTTTAATTAAGTGTGCTAATTTCCTACCCTACCCTTCTTTCTCAATCAACATCATTTCCCCTAAAAAATAGCACTTTTCATTTTTACAGTTAGTATTTTGAGCACATTTCTAATGTTTATGGCTGCTGGACAAAATTCTGTCATGTACCCATTAAACATTCATGAATCCTTTTTTAGGAACTCTAAGGTGATCTACTCATGATCAGTGCATGAAGAGCCACTGAAGAAACAAGAAGTTGATTGAAAACAGTGTGAGAGCAAATACTTTAAGCGTTTTTCATTACACAAATTGCGATCTCAAATTTCAGAAATTACAAGTGCCCAAAGGAAAGGTAACTTCTACATGTCACGCAGACCCGACCCAAGCTACCGCGCGTTTGGTTATTGTACTCGTAAACAGGATGGGCGGTACTGGGGACCACGACTTAGTCAAATGAAAAGGGACATTACGGTCCGACCGACCAAAGTGACCCCACCGGTCAAAGTTGACACCCTCCAAAGCTGCATGCAAATATTCCGGTAGGACCGAACCGAAATGGACCTTTCCATATGACGTCCAACCAAACTTTCTTGAATTTTGGGGCTGAATGAAAAGCGCCCTTTGACGTAACCGCTCTCAAAGGTTTCAGGGGTTTATTCAGTGAGTTTTTATTCCTGTCCGAGCTATGAACTTAAAGCCATGCAAATATATATGTATATAATATAAAAGGTAATTGTTGGAAGGAAGTATTTTATGTATCTCAAATCAAGACCCATCAGAGGTTTTGTTCCTTTACAATGCTTTGTACTCAAGCAGAAATGTTTTTGACGACTCTGACAACATGAATGCGTATTTCCTTGTTCGATCACTTGAAATTAAGTAAATCAACAGATTATTGTCAAAGATTTAAACGTGAAGAGGTGAAACTACAGTGGCGGATCCAGGGGAGAGGCCCCGCCTCCCCCTTATTTTTAGACGAACCTGAGGCCCGAACGGCCAAAACAATTTTTTTTGGAGACCGCTCCCCCCCCCCCCCNCGAAAGACTTGGAAATAATCCTCATAACTATTGTACGGAGTTTTACGAATAGTCTTTCACGCACTAGTCTTTATTTTAGCCTTAAGACAAGTTTCGTTTATTCAAACCTCTTCAGTTTGGCTAAAACTGTTACAATACGTAACTTAACTTAACTCTTAACTTAACTTAAATCTTAACTTAAAATTAAAAAATAAATTGAACAGGGAACATACACAATTAGGTGTGGTCATACTTCAGTACTAAAAACCTTTTAAAATTGTTTTTGAAATTGTTTTTCTTGGTGTTACTGTAACAAAACCTCTGTTACGTGATCCTTATCCACAGGGGACAGTTCTGCTGCAGAAGGGTATGAAAACGACATTACTTTTCAGCTGTTGTTTGCAATTTACTTCTTGATTCAGGTCCAGTATCCAATCGGTCGCTTTGCAACTTGAGTTTCCAAGGTAATGCTGTTGCTGTTCTGTCTCCTCCATTTTCAGAAATCGTTGCAATTCGTTCTCGCTTCCAACTACCTATTTTGATAAATTTACATGCGCTACTTCTTTTCTTACCAAACCTGTTTGTTGTGGTCGAAACTATTAGAGACCTTTAGATTCTAAGACGACGACATCTACGTGATACTAAGTAGTGCGCGCGCCTGAACCTGCGTCATTAGGGACTTTAAGATCCAACGACGCGGACGGCAACGAGAACGTCAAAAAAACAACTGGTTAATAAGCAAAACAACAACTTTGCACGTTCATCACGCGTTTTTGTACATTTCTTTCCTGTTTTTGCACGACTACGACGTGAAAATGCCTAATTTTGCGTTTTATGGAGGACGTAAACAAGCAGCAACGAAATTTTATTTCTCTTTCTGAGCTTGGCTTTGGTCCACTGAAATTCATCTTCAGGAGGGTTCGCCTACATTTGACAAAGTCAGTGGGTAGGAATAATCCCTCTAAAGACTGAAAGAAAGCAAATTCTCTTTTTGAGCTAAGTTCTCGTTGCCGTCGCGTCGTTGGATCTTAAAGTCCATATTTTTGCGGGAAAACGAGGTACCCGCCATCATTTTGCTACGGGTTTTAGCGAGAATGTCTTAGTGGCGGAAATAAGTTACCAAATGTTGGAAGTTTTGTCATATTGCAAATAAGAGAGGGCTTTTAAAATTTCCTTCAATAAAAGTAACCGTGCTAACTATTCTGGGGAAAAAATTACAGTGAAGCTTTCCGGGGTGCCTATATTTTAAGACCGAAAAACTTGAAGTTAAATCTCTTCCTCGAATCTAAAAGTCTCTATTATAAATTTGACAAAAACCCTCTCGCCTTTTGACAATAATTATGTGGGATACAATTTTAAGAGTGAAGTTTTGATGCTATTTTATAGTCATATGTTTAAGCGGTTTTAGTCAATTCGTGACTCAAACTTTATTTAAGCACGGTGGCCCTATCAGCACTGCACTTGGGTACAGTTTAATACGCTGCGTAAGTAATGACTACATAATCAAGGACTTTAAAACAAAGGATGACAGGGAAGCTTAAAAAATACAAGGAGAAAAAGAAAAATAAGTTTCGTTTACCTTACTTCATTCCATTTTTTGACAACGACAAACTTTGTGTTCAGGGGTGCATGTCTGCAGACGTAGGCTAAGTACGTGCCCTGGTTAGTGACGCACTTAACCTGGGTCCAGTTGTTAGAAGGCAGATTAGCGCTAACCCCAGGTGTCAGAGTCCTTTTCTCCGATAATTTTCTCTATGCCTTTTAGAGCATCCAACCATCAAATTGTAGACAAAAAAGAATTAAATTGAATTTGCTTTTTGAGCTTTCATATCTGAATTCAAATTTTGCACTAACCCTGGGTTATCTTAACCCAACTTTGAACAACTTGGCCCAGAGGTTTAGTTTCGTCTGTTGCGCAGGCTAGTGGTCTGAGAATTACTTTAAAATGTTTGTATTTTGATAGTTACTTACATTGTTTCCTCATCATACAAGGTCGTATCCTGACCAGAGGTCCTTTACAGTACTTGCCACCGTATTCAGGTTTTGGATCGTCACAAGTCCGGGACTGGGTTTGATAACCTTGACCACAATTTCGGGAGCATTTACCCCATGGACCCCACCTACCCCAATGACCATTAATTGGAACTAGATTTGAAAAAAAAAAAGAGAAAAAAAAAAAAGAAGAAGAAGAAGAAGAATAACAAACAAACATTGCGAAATCAGAATATAAATCAGTTGCCGAAAACTTTTTTCATTACACCCATTTTAAAACTTATTTTTAATAAGTATATGATTGATTTAACTGGAAAAAAAAAATCCGCGAGTTAGTACTTTTGTTATTTTCTGTTTCTGTTTTTTTGTTAGTCTCTAGGGAGCCCAGGCCTTATAAAGCCTCGTGGTAGGTCAGGGCTCTCTTTGCCAGTTTATCATTTTTGTATTTATTCCAATATTTTGTATTTTTGTACTCAACTAGTTTCTTTTAAAGCCTGAGTCAGATTCAAATTTTGGTACGTTCAAAAGATGTTTGGGCTTGTCGCCCCATATAAGGGAAGTCCGGATACCGAAATCCGGGAAATTTTTGCTTGTGGAATCCGGAATAGAATCCAGAATCCAAGTTCCACCGACAAAAAATCCGGAATCCAGTATCTGTAATCCGGAATCCAAGACTGTCTTGTATTCCCTTATATTCCCTTATATGTGTCTATATAATACCTGGCGGACCACATCGATTTCTAAATTTTGATTGCACTTAATGGTTTATTTACCATAGCATTCATCCATTGGACATTTGGCCTTTTGTAGTTCAATACGATCTCCGTCAGCTCCTGGACATTTTTCAATATCATCTGCAGAACAGAATCTTTCTCTTTCCTTTGTACAATTCTTGTCGCAAGGACTCCAGTTTCCCCAATTACTCCAGCCTCTTTTTTTAGCTGGAAGAGACAAATATGGATAATGGCATACGTTTCTCGCAAGATATAGTCGCAAGAGACTGCATTTTTTATTAGCTTTCTCCTTATTGCATTTTTTTCAAGATTTGTCCTTATTTCTTTTTCTGTTAAATTCATCCATCCTTTTTTAATTTTTTAAAGAAATTATTTCAAGCTCATGCTGAAACATTCATCTACACCCCTTTATAAAATAATGAATTCAAATTTACCGGCCTTAATTACAAAGCCTCATCTATCATAAAGGGTTTTCACATAACGTCGAGGCCATCATGTTGGTGTTCCAAACCAATCCTTTGCAAGAACTCTTACGAACTTTGCTCCAATAAATTTGCATAATCACCGTACTGACCACGTTAGTGACAACGCTCTGTAATCTAATCGTTCTCTAGAACCCAGATATCTTACAGTCAGTGTTGGAAGTTATGATTAGACCTGAGTACGAATACTTACTTCTGCAGTCGTAGAGAGCATTCAGTTGAAGAATATCTGTTGGACTTAGTTTTGCAATTTGCCCGAACTGAAGCAGCGGATCCTTGACAGACAACATTGTTGGTCTTTTATTCTTGCTAAACGCATAGTTTCCATAATGCATGATACTTGTAAAATCGTACGATCCCCCATAGAAATCCATGTCTTTCTTTCTGTAGCGGTTGAAATTATGTAACTGTTCTGTGTAGAAAGAAAAGTCGTAAAGGGTCAGGAGAACATTATTTCACTGCTGTTAATGTTATTTGGAGCCCTGTCCCTTTTCTTTAGCTAAAACAAACCGAAGTTTCCCTCCTTCCTGGATCTGATACCATTATATTACGACCTAAAAGTACAGGTTTTCTTGAAAAGAACTAACATCTGGTCTGAGAGATGGCAATGATTGGTAGTCTGAGAAAAATCGCAATGGAGGTGGCTAGATTCAACTCGGTATTCGATCCAGTAACCTGGGAGTGACGCCGGCAGTGGTGAGAGCAGTCGTCTCCGACCAAAGTGGCCTAGGGCTCGAATGCCTAAGACGATCGAAGCCAGTGTGTCGAGTTTGTTATTTCCTTCCGCCCTCTTTCTAAGAGGTTTTTATCCGACTACTCTGCTTTTGCCCTCTTCGTTTTTTCAGTTTATTTATTTATTTATTTTCAGATCATTTTAAATTCGAATTCTATCGAGGCTACAACAAGTGCAAAGAGCCACCTCGGGGATGTGGTTCATCCCTAAAATCAAACAAATATTTGTATTTCATGTTCAATTCATATTCATATGGGCTTACGTGGATCGATGTTCTCCCACAAAACTTGAAGATAGTCATCTCTGTCTGATCTGGATTGTTCATGCCAGAAGCCAAGCGCATGCAACAATTCGTGCAAAATGATTCCTTTCTCGTTACAACCATCACCAATTGACAATTCCTGCATCCCTTTCTTCAAATATTGACGGCCAACGGGCGAGTTGCACCTTAAAAAATGAGAAAGGAAGACGTAGTCTACGTGATTACTAGCCTAATCACTACGCGTAGCTATACGTAATCACTATAGCCTGTTCCAGGCTCCGAGATAGTGCTCGATTTAAGTACGTACCCACCATACTATCTGAGAGCCTGACACAGGCCACGTGATCACACATAAGCATCCAAGATCCGCCTCTTCCTGCTAACTAACGGATTAGTACCCTTAAAACCATCATGATTACATCGGCTTTAACTCGGTCCAAAAAAAACGCAAAAAGAGAAAAAGCAGAGCCTCGCCAATATCCATTATCACCCGTTTAACTTGTGCTTGGTCAGTGACGCATATCAGTCGTACTTTTTGTTATAGTTGAATTCACTAATAAATTTATACAAACTCAGACTGTATACTTCGACATAATACTACTGTAGTTTTTCCCCTTTTTAGCTAAATTTTTATTCTGCTTACTCCTCTAACAATTTATAGCTTAACGAGCCGGGGGAGGGAGGCATCCATTTGTTCAAAAAATTTACATTGTTCTTTTAAAAACGAAGTTGTTGTTGTAGTTGAAGATGATGATTCCAATTTATACGTTTAAACGTTTTGTTCTGGAATATCATATTTTGTCACCATATGAAATAACAGAAGAAGACGAATGTCAAAAAGTACTGAGTATTTACGTTTACTTGAAACTTTACATGGCTACGCTAGAGACCTGAATCTTCTTCAATATGAGAATATTCACATTCTCAATATAATCTCAGTTTTGAAGAAATCATTTTAGTTAACAATTTTTCCGGGTAGACCCCCTTCCAAGCCATTATAATTTTTTTAGCAATTTAATTTTTAAAGATACATGTCAACTAAAAAATCATGCACTCATGAAGACGACAACGAAAACAATTGGCAAAACCTAAGCAAAACAGGCTTAAAGCTAGGGTTGGTACTTTCACATATATGCAACACGTTTTACGAAAAAAAATTATTTGTTTTTGTTTTTTGATCTCAAACAGGTGTTACTGACCGGTGGCGCAATTTTTCACACAGTTTTACCTCCGCAATTGCCTGAGAGATCTCGTTAGAAAGCGCATGGGCGGTGAAGATCATTACCGCCGCGAGTTGCTTTTGTTGCACGGGGCGTTTTCAGCAAATATGGCATCCATTGTTTTGAGAAAAAAAGCAAAAACAGTTACATTAACTAATTATCTTTTTTCATCCTACCTTTGTTTTTATGTCTAAATAAATCAAGAAAACGGGCCTCAGACGTTTTCTCTAGGTAGACATCACGTCCAAGTGTTCTTACCCACTTTTCTTTACAAAACGTATCCAATGTTCGTCGCCGTCTTTCTTCATTCGGAATTTAACGCATGACTTCTTTTGAATTTCGTCCACAGCTTTTAAAATATTATTCCAAGCCCTCGCTATGTGTAATGATAAACATACAAGTTTAGTACAAGTCAAACCCTTTTGCTCGATCATTTATAGTATAACCATAACAATAAAGTTCTATCTGAGTCTCTTTCCTTTATTTGTTAGTGCGTATTTTTCAAGGAAAGATTAAAAATTTGAAACTGAGTAACAAATCAGCTACTAGTTTATTGGCCTTAGCTTCCACGAGTTTTCTGTAGCTCAGTGGTAGACTGATCTGAACTAGAAATCATAAGGGCATAGATTCGACTCCTGCCGTCTTTAAATGTCACCCCCCTTCACAGCGATCATTCCTCTAGTAAGACTTTCAAGTTTATTGTTACGTTGATGTCAGTTTGAATCAGGGTTCGAGGAGAAATATTTTTGTACAGAGTTTGAATATCCTCGGTTTTAGAATCTCTCTTCTTTTGGAGCGAAGCGGGGCGCGGGAAGAAGAGAAATAGGGAACAAAGTTGGAAATTAAAAATTTATTTCAGGTAGCCTTACATGCTCCCGGACCCAGTTCAACGGGAACCACTTTCCTGACCCAAAGATGGCGGCGAGAACTAATGGCTTTACGCTTGGTGACAACGCTATCTACATCTACTTCAGCTGTGTCTGCAGAATTGGTGTTACTTGTGTCGACACCATCCTTGTCACTCGGGGTCAGCTGAATGTCACCTTCGAAAATATTCTTGAATTTCTTTTCTACGTGGTCCTCTGGGAACAAAAGTAGAAAAGTGATGATCAGTTTGTCTAGCTTGATTAGGAATTTTTTTTTCTTGCTTTTATTTATTTCATTGCCGTGGCCGAGTGGTAAGAGTGATGGACTTGTCATTCGGAGGCCCGAGTTCAAGTCTGCCATGACCGTCAGCTGGATTTGTTCTCAATAGTCCCAAGATCAAATCCTCTGCCAAGCTTATGAAATAGCCAGCTAGTTCGCCTCCTACCAGTTGGGAATTTTTAGCCATATTATGTTCCATTTAAATTATTTGTTTCACTATCCCTAAAAAGCCCATTCTCTATTTTCCAATTCCCCATAATACACTCTGTTTGCCCCCCAAATTTTGCATAAACCATTGTTTTTAAATGCTCCTGGGAGTATTGCATTTTCCCAAGAGCATTTTAAGACAATAAGTTATGCAAAATTTGGGGGGGCAGACAGAGTGTATTATGGGGAATTGGAAAATAGTCAATTATTAAAAGGCCTCAATGCTTGCACTCAGAGGGTGTCTCGGTGCTTGGGTCGAGATAACAAGTCTATCTAGCGACGGCTTTTAACTGAGAAAAGCAATGTTCAATCAAAGAGCAGAAAACAGACATGACTTTTTAGCGCAGCTGATTTATTATAAAGTCAAGTTAGCTTTTAGTCTCCCTCCCTCCTTTCCTCGCAGCCGTTTTAGCAGTTTTAGTGTCGTCACGTTGTGAGGAGGGGCGTTGCGTGACATCATTGAAACGGACAACCTCGTTCCCAAGGCTTTCCCTTAGCCCTGGGGACAAATTAAAGATTGCTGCGAGGGGACCATTGTGATAAGTCCTGCAGAGCCCAAGTGTAAGAGGCGTTAGCCTGCGATCAAATCTCTCCATTTGGGGGAGTCGCGAGAAGCCACCTTCGCGTACCTCGCGGGTTTGCCCCTCACTCGCGCGTTCTCTCGCGGTTCGCCCTTCTCTCGCCATAAATGGAGAACTTGCAAGCAACAGCATTGGAACCTTGTTGTTTTTGTCACTAGAATCTTACCCTCATTTGCTTCTTCAATTTTATCCATAATAGTGTTGTCTTTTAGGCCACGTGGGTTATCTATTAAAAAAACACATTACATTTGATAGCAAAAATATAAAGAAATGCCAAAAACATATTTCAACGCCAGCCGTCAGTAATTCAATAAACTTAAATAACTTCTTTCTTGTTTTGCCCATAAAATATAACCAACATTGTTGTTAATAATCCTTTTTTGCCAAATCTGTAACGGTCACTTCAGATCACTTCTAAAGATGTATCTTGACTAGCATACGAAATGTAAAGTTTATATAAAAAGCGAAAGTTCGCAATGTTTATCACCGCTGTTTGTGTTTTATTTTTAAGCTACGATAGCCCAAAGAACAAAGAACAACCTTTATGGTAAAGTACAAATAGTCTCTCGTTTTCCTTAGGGATAGTGGAGTGAGAGTGCAAACCGCCACCCGCAAGGAGAAGCGAGGTGCATCTCGCCTCTACTCGTGAGAGTTGATTTTTAAACACGTTGGTTTTCGGAGCTTCTGCGGTTTAGATTTCACGTACTTGTCAATAAGCATTTTTGATGTGAAGATGCTATCAACTGTGCTATGCATTTTTCTGAAGCTACCTCGGACGTAAAGAGGTGGCGGGGGGAGGGGGTTGGGGGGTGGTTGACACCCCCCTAAGGTTTTTCTGATTTTTTCCTAGAAGAAAAAACATCAGCACCTGAAGTTTTCTGTGGATGTTTGTTTATTTTTGCGCGCATTTAAAGACAAAGTTTAGTGATGGTCAGTTACTATGGTTACAAGATAAGACGTCATAAGTTGCAGGTGGTCAGGCCATTTTTGAGTGAAAATGCATGTTCTTTCAACTTATTTCAACAATAAAAAACTTGTGGATGAAATGGTGCAAAGTAATTATTTATGTGTTATTTCAAACGTAAAGTGCAAAAAAAAAGTATTAATTCTGTCGACTGTTTTTACCTGATTTCTAATTTTTGATAAAATCCAAGATGGCCACCAGAATAGTTCATCTTGTAGAGAAGATCAAAGGCTTTCCACTGAAGGCAAAATCGTTTCGAAATATTGCAACATATCGAAAACCCAAGGGGGGGTCTTTCGACCCCCTCCCCCACCTTGTACCACTGTGGGGGTATGACTTTTCGTGTACGTCCGAGGGTTAAAACAATTAAGATGACTGGTGAAGACGACACGTCATGTCCATGAACTGTGCCTAAGTGACTGAAATTGATGTGATACAACCCCATGCTTTTGACTCTGAAGATGACTACCGCACAGGTTGTCGAAACGTCAATCACTGTAAACAACAACAGTCCTATTCAGGACTACGTTCACCAGGACGATCAAACTCAATATACTTTTGACTTAAGCATAGTTAATAGAGGGAATGGTTATGAAACCCGACAAAGTTCTTTGTTGTATGTTTTTGTTCTCTTTTTTGGCCTTGACCCTGCACAAAACACAATAGTTGTTTACTCCGTACTGAGGAACTAACCAATAGAAACGTGCTGGTTACGTAATTCATGCATAACGTATGAACGCAAAACAAAAGATTGTGCAGGGTCGTGGACCTTCTAACATAAATCTTGGCATCTTTGTTTGCTCCTTTGATGTTTGCCGGGCTTCATAACCAGTCACCTCCATTAACTATGACTTAAGTGACTTATATATCAAGAAAGGGAATCCTTACAAATCAAAACCTTTCAGCTGAGGTCTTGTCGCCACTTGTTACACATGTCTCGATTATTTCCCATCACATATTTTCAGTTTAAATCTGTTTCTTTAATTATATTTTTTGTTTTCCAGTTTCTAGCCTAAACCAGTTTACTTGGAGCAAATTATGATTATTGTTATCTAAAAGTTGTTGAATTGGATTCATAAATTAAACTGAATTAAACTGAATTTCAACTGCAGTGATGCGAATTTACAATGGAAATGATCAGCCGTACACATTCCAAAATCCAGAGGTCCAAAATTGAAGACAATCCGATCCTTTGCATTTGATTTTTCTGTTTCCTAAGACTTGCTTACCGACATAGACATTCTTGAGCTTTCAATTCTTGTTTGAGAGGCTAAATTGAGATTTTGACACTTTTCTTAATATGAAGAACTTCACTAATGGTTACAGGTCAGGAGTTACTGAAGTTGAATAAGAAGTCGAATATGGGGCGAGAGACCGGCAGAAACGACTTTTCCTAACCTATGAAAACCCTCTGAAAGGGTACAATGCAACGATAAACCATGATATGCAGAAACTGTTAGAATATGATCCTAAGATTTTCATCCAGGTTGCTGCCCTGTCGCTAAATTTATTAGTAGCTCGCTAGTGTAATTACTGAAGATTACAATCCAAGCGCCCCGCAGTTAAATCATCAGTTTTGGAGCGAAAGAAGACTTAACTAGCAGGTAGACACAATAAAATGATTAACCGTTTCCGACAACAAATATTAAAACAAAGTGTTCATTAAGCTGTTTGTCCAGCATATTAAATAGAGAAAGAGTCACATATTTACCGTCTTCATTGACAGCCTCTTTCCACGGAATCGAGTCGGTGAATTCAAATTCCACGCTCATTACGAGAACAAGTGTGAATAGAATCATATTTCAAGCCAATAAATTCTGCCCAGTGAAATATAAGATGTATAAGCCTATAAGTTTCATGCAAAAATATATGTGCTGTGAAAGTATATATCACCTCAAAGAAAAAGAGATTTACAGGTTAACCGTTAATAAAATGTGGTATGAATAAAATGTCTGGCAAGACGATTTACTTACAGTTTAATCGGGTGATCAAGACGACAAATGCTTCACTTGCCGATGTGTATATTGAAAAGTAAACGTTCAACTTCTAAACTACTGTTACTCTATGTTTTGTTGTAATACTCCGACTTTTATGCCATGCTTTTACCGGCTACGCCAAATTAAATATGAATTAGCTTGAATATTGGTTTCACTCAAGCGTTAAGAACGATTCTCGTTAACTGTTCCTACAACAGGTTCACTGTAGTTCAAAAACGCCTGAAACTATTAACATTCCACCCAGATAAGTGAATTTCATAGTCAATCAATGACCTTATCAAGTGTTCTTAGGAGAAAGAAAAGCCTGATGACTAGTTATTACTGATGGTACTGCAATTTAAAGCTTAATTTAAAAAAATTACCGACCAGTCCTTTGTGCCTTTTAGCTGTAACGACTGTAACCAGGTATTGAAGCCACTTCTCTGTCACTGTACATAAGAATAAATAGTCAAATGGCATTAACCCTAGATATCACAATATTATGGCGTTCATTTCATTGCATCATCTAGAAAAATCTGCTTGGAAGAAAACATTCCGCTGTATGTAGCTTATAAGTGGTTCAACAAATTACGGCATTGGAGGTTTGCAACAAAAGTTTTGCGTATTGCTATTCCAGAATATGATTGATCGAGAGCACCCTTAGTCGGTTCTTCCGTGATGCGGCCGCATTGTTACCTAGTTTCCGTAGCTTCATATCTCTAGTGACCTGATTGCAGCGTTAAGTTGGTGCCCGCTTGACTCCTGGGGGCCGTTTCTCGGAAGTCCCGATAATTAACGGGCCCGGTAAGCTGTCCCCGTTTACATTAAAGATCGAGGTTTCAATAGTTTTGCATCTAACATGATAAAACTATCAGTTAATGAAACAAAATGGAGTAGTTTGCTAGCCAGGATCCGCGGTCTTATTCTTTATATTTCGATTTGAATATTTGATTTCGGGCCCGAAAAGTTACCGGGACTTTCGAGAAACGGGTCCCTGGTCTCTCCGTAGGCTTAATGGGGGGCGCGATCCATTGAACCAAAATCCAGACCGGTCCGACCGGGAAAAGAGGACCACCTCAAAAGGTGGACCAGTTTTTTCGAAACTTTTCCGGTTGGACCGAACCGATCCATTGAGTTTTGGACCGAAATTTCCGGAAATTTTGGTTGAACGGATCGCGCCCAGGAAATTCACTAACTGAAATTCTGGGCGGTTGCTGCTCTAACGGGACGAAATCAGAAGGTTAAATGGCATGAAATGAACCGTAAGGGACAACGCCGGTTGGTGACTTTTTTCTAGTTGAAATTCAAATAATAAAAATAATATTAAAATATAAAAATGAATTAATTAAAATTTATGCTCAGCTGTAAGGGATAGGGTTTTTGAACAGTTTAGTCCGATATGGGGAAAAAATCAGAGGGTACGGTGAAGGCTGTATTTCCTCTTTCGTGCGCGCTTCGTGCGCCTTTTCTCAACTTTTTTCCCCCCACTTGGGAGGCCAAACAAACCGCCAGCTATGGAGGATAGGATATTTGATGTATAGTTTAGAACAAAGTTAGTTAGAACAAAGTTGCAAAATTGCAGTTGAACAGGGTCTGGCCTCGGTTGTAGGCTAAGGGTTACCACGTTCCAGCAGCACACTGCCATCCCAAATTTCAAAAAGTACCCATTCCTGGCACTCTTCATAATTTGGAAGAAGGAGAAATCTAACACCATAACTTATACGACCCTCCTAGCTCTACTTCGTATGCTCTAACCACTGAGCTACTAGAGGCTGTCTAGCAGGGTCGAAATTTTATCATAATTACACCAGCCATGGTGGACTGTATAATCGGGAAATCGGCAGTCAACCACCATACCATACCAAGACTGTGCAAAATGATTCGGAAAAAGGAGAAATCTAACAGCTTCTGTGTTAAGAGTCAGTGAGAACAAGTGCTTTTCGTTGTAGATTTCAAGCTTGTATTTGCCAATACACAGAGGTATTTCTCGACACTTCTCCGGCTATAAAAGTCTCGCCCCCTAGCAAAACTATTGTGACAAATACGAGAAATTCGTATTTTTTGTTTCGAACGCTCACTCAGAAATCAGTTAAAAAAAAGGTATTTGACAACGTATCAAACGTTGAAAAAAATTAACAAGACGTCCAAAGAAAGTTCTTTGCCCAGTTTTTTTTAAAAAAAGATTCGTTTGGCTACCAGAGCCAGAGCCGGCAGTTAATTAAAACTCTGTCTAACAGAGAATAGAATAAATTATGTGATGTAATAGGTCGGTACTCAAACTTGATCCTGTTTTGAATCCCCAATGTGGAGAGCTTGGTACAAGCCTCATTCCTGTTATACCATGTTAATCTCCGACGAAAAGTTCTGCTTCAAAAGAGCCTGAAGACTTATATAAACGTTTCAGCTGTTCTTTGCAGTTAACTTGACTTTCGTCCAGTATTCGGTCGGTTGCTATGCAACTTGAGTTTCTCAGGCATTGGCTTGTTAACTGCCGACTTTCTGTCCTGTCCAGTAATCAGTGTAATTCGTTTTCTTCGCCATTTACCTGTTGTAATGAATTGAGTCAACTACTTGATATAATCATCAAGGGATGATACTAGTATTGCAGTACACACTAGCCTAGACTACGAGCAGTCTCTCTTTTTTCTTTGTCCGTTGAGCAAACACCCGAGACACGCAAATGACCACGCACCCTTGTTTCTCGCGTCTCGCGGCTTCGCCGCTCAACGCTCGCGCGCGCGAGCACTCCCCTTACTAAATCTGAAGAAAAAGAGAGGCTGCTCGAGGTCTAACACTAGCCTAGATAGAGCTGATAATTTCACAGAGTCATAACTGTTAGTATAAATCGTCGTTTTTGGCAATAAATGAAGTTTATTAAGTCAAGAGTTTTTAAGAGGTTGTCTGAACATATAATCTTTAGCGATTTTACTTATGAAGCCGGAATCACCTTACTGCGGTGGTTCAGTTAATTTGACAAGTATTATTGAGCTTCAACTCAGAAAAATTTATTTTTCTTTCGCATGAAACAGTTCAGGCATATAGCCATGCACAGTGATGGTGAAAACTACAATAAAAGAAATGTAAAAAGGAAAACTACAAATGAACTTCGAGGTAAATTAGAAATAAAGGGAAAAAACCAACAAAACAGCTTACATTCTGCGAAAACATAATGTGAAAAAAAAAATGTGGCGCCTAGCGTTTTGATGCACATGTTGTTATAGTGACCAGGCGCAAAACAACGTTCGTTTCCCAAACACACCAGACAAAGACAACTGCATATTTTTCATTGGTGTCAAAGTTGGCTGCTAAAACAGTACATAGTTATAGTTAAGTGTTAGTATACAGCTTTAGTAAAATCCAACTAGTGGTCCATTATCAATGCTGAGTTCTGATTGGTTGAGCTACTACTAGGCTATGTGTTATAGCCTATTAGTAGCGAAAAGCGCGTGCGTTTTGGCGACAAAAAAAGTGATTAAAGTCTAGCTTTAACTAGCTAAAATTTTTTCATTCTCGATATTTTTGACCAACTAGTTGGATTTTACTAAAACAATTAGTAAAATCCTCTGAGTCAATAGCCCATTCGGCCTTCGGCCTCATGGGCTATTGACTCAGAGCCCATTCCGGCTCGAGGAAAAATTGTTGAATAGTCACTTACAACTTTTCCTCAGCGTACAAGGTCGTATCTTTACTAGCGGACCACTGCAGTACTTGCCACCATATTGAGGCTTAGGATCGTCACACTTGCGTGACTGGTATTGATATCCTTGACCACAATTTCGAGAGCATTTACTCCATGGACCCCACCTACCCCAATGACCATCAATTGGAACTAGATTTGAAATAAATAAGTAAATGAATTTTATGAAAACCCAATATCTACCAAGGAGTAAACAAGAAGCAAATTAACTACGGTGATCGACGCCACGTCTTCCGTAATTTTCAAATCAAATTCGCTCAATTTCAATTGTCAGCTACCGTACTCTTTGTGCCTAATTGCTGGTTCAGGAACAATTAGTATTTTTGATTAATTTTGTTTTCTTGAGACTTTCTTGCCAGCCTGTACAGAGGAAGCTCTTTTCAGGGGAAACCTGCGGGACTAAGTGTCCCCTGAATAGAGGACATGTCCCTTCAAAAGAGGTAACAAATACAAAGGTTTGTGAACATTTTTTCAGGACCAAATGTTGTGTCTCCTGAATAGAGATAATAAATAAAGGAGTCCAAAAGGAGATGTTCCATGAGTGTAATGGGGAGTAGCTTATGCAAGGCTCTCAGATAGTATAGTGGGACGTATTAAAACGAGGAAAGCGAAAATATGACGCGCGAGACTTGGGAAAGGTGCGGAGGGGGGGGTGGGGGCGGGGGCGGCGCTCTGTCTCTTCCCAGCCTCCGCGCGTTTTTCGCAATTCTTTTTAATACCTTTTTACTGAACGACTTTTCACCACTATCTTGGAGCCTGGAACAGGCTAAATGGGGAGTTCAAGTAAAGAAGTTTTTGAGCGACGAACGTCAACCTGAAGTCATAGACTTTTTGCAATATTCGCCGGTTGTTTGGCTTTCATTTTTGGTCAAGTCCGTCTCTAGAAGGGCAAAGACCCTTAGCATTACGAATTTGGAAGCCTCGAGATATATTAAACGGAAAAACGCCCCACTTGCGGTCGGCATGTGTCACCCAAAATGAGGGCCAAATATTTAAACGAGGTCTAACTTTAGCCGCGGTTTAACGAATCTTTGAACCTCCAGATCTCTTCTTTGGTGGGTGGTTTTAAGAAGATAAATGCTTTTCTAGTCTTCTCTATCTGCTTTCATAAAAATGTTCACAATAAAATCGTTAAGCAAATCGTTAGGCAAATTAAAAATGACTTTTTTGTTAAACACTGGCTAAACTACGTTTAAATATTTGGCCCTCTAATTCTTTGTGTGTTGTTCTTTAGTAGGATATATAAAAATAACAATTACATTGAAAATCTAATGACAGAAGCCTTTAAATGCTATTAAAAGCAATAATAGGTTATTAACAGCAGTCGAAGTCCTCATTTGATTTTCAATATTTTTATTGTGGCTAAAGCTCAGTGACCGGTTCGATCATTGCAAAAAAAGACAGTTTATCAGTAACATATCTTGCCCATCGCTTACTTACCATAACATTCTTTGTTTGGACATTTGGACTTTTGAATTTGAATGCGATCTCTGTCGGCTCCTGGACACTTTTTAATATTATCTGCAGAACAGAATCTTTCTCTTTCCTTTGTACAATTTGTGTCACAGGGACTCCAGTTTCCCCAGCTACTCCACCCTTGTTTTTTGGCTGCGAGAGAAAAAAAAATTAAATTTTATGGCCTTCCTAAAGGGACTATAAGGGAAGAAGCATTCATCCGTTGTTACTTACAGGACATAGGTACCGCCGCGTCCCGGGAGGGTTCTCCAAGGAATTCTAGGTGGGGATGTGTCGCCCGGCTCTCCAAATACTCACCTTATTTCAGACCAAAACATGGCATTTTCCACATTCGTTTTCAGACCTGGCCTCTAAAATCCACACTCATTTTCAGACCTGGTCTCCCAGGAATTTTGTTGTTGTTACTTAGATTAGAACGCAAGATAAAATTAGAATTCCTTTTTAGTTACTCCTTATTTCTTAGTCATTTGGAATTGAAACTAAGAATAGTAGGTTCGTACACTCCTGTTGTTCCCTGGAACACCACAACCGATTCCAGACCAAAATAGGCAAAGTGGGCTCCTGGCAAAGTGTATACCTGTTTTCAGACCGAAACGGCGCAGAAAAACAAACCATACCCCTTTGGGGCGGCACATACCCATATTTGCATATTACTAAATTCGGGAATTCTTTACGGACAGCTTCAGTTTACACACTGAAATAACGCCATCTTTGTCATGATGGCGCTTATTGATTGGTTAGTAATTGTCCAGTTAAATTCACTTTCTAGGCAAGGTAATTGCTAACAATCAAAGGAAAGTTGTGCCTGAAATACTTTCTTTTCTAGGCACAAATAACAACTCATCGGACTTTTTATCAGGACAGGTTACATTTTTCGGGTGTATTCTCATAAAAACTTTAAACTTCAGCAGATTCTTTTCTGGCATTAACAATTTTAGTAAAGCCGAGAAATACAGTCGAATCACCATGTGCGACCACCACCTCCGAAAATTGACCACCACTGCAGTTTCGATACAGTCTGGACTGCAAAACAGTCCGTATTTTTGCGTATTCAAGTACGCGCGAGCAGTCAAACGAAAGGTCTGGAACGAGGCTGAAAACAGAGAGCAAGACTGGGGAGAGACGCTAATTTCTCTCGCCTCACAAGCCCTATGGGCGTGTGAGGCTCGTGCGCTTCGCGCGCGTAAGACTGTTACGCCGCTCTTAACCGATTTCTTTACTGATTTTGAGAAAAAAACCGACCGTTTTGCAGTCTTAGATACAGTCTGAACCTCTCGTAAACTTAACGATCAGCTCTAGTAAGCTTTTTGGACGAATGTCCGTTGTTTTTACCTCTTGTAAGACATCATGTCGACTCAAGGTTTGATCTCTATTTGTAATGTACTCCACTACTCAGAGTCTGCCAGTGACAATAAAAACTACACATATCGTAACTAAATGTTGCATGTAACGAATTCTTTTCCAAAAAGTAGATATGTTCTCACATTCCCTTTCCTTCTCGGTAAAGACCCCCTGCGCTCCTGCCCCCTGTGATTCTTTTTGGGACCAACTCCTGTAAGGACGCCGTAAGCGACCTCTTTAAATCTTCGCATTTTGTGTGGTTGCTTACAAGAGGTTTGACTGTATCTAAAGCTAATTCAGTATAAATCTTGTCGTACCCATCTCCTCTGGGTCCTTTCACAGGAACAGTTACAAAGTTAATGACTGAGACCAGGGTACAAATACTCACAGTCTCTGCAGTCGTACAGAGCATTTAGTTGAAGAACATCTGTTGGGCTCAACTTTGCAATTTGTCCAAACTGGAGGAGCGGATTCTTGACAGACAACATTGTTGGTCTTTTATTCTTGCTAAACGCATAGTTTCCATAATGCATGATGCTAGAAAAATCATACGATCCCCCAAAGAAGTCCAAATTCTTCTTTTTGTAGCGGTTAAAATTATGTATTTGGCCTGTGTAAAGAGAGTGGTGTTAAACAGAAGTCAAAGTACGCCAAAACTATTTAACGTTTTTTGTTAGCGTAGAGCCAATGGAAATATTTTGTCTAGATCTCTTTGTGTCTGCCTTCATTATACCAGTTTTCCACTGCTTACAGTTAGTGTAGCTGCAGTACTGTAGGCTCCAAAGCCAGCCTGCTAATAAATGCTTGTTAATGGCTCAGGTAAAGTAAAAATTTATATTAACCAAACCCGCTCCATTATCTTATATGTTTTCTCTCAGATTCAAAAATGCGTTTTAGGGTCAAAGAACTCAGTTATCACGGATACTGATCATGAGGGGACTAGCACAGAAAGTGTTCGTATATTACTGAACAGGGTGTCTGTATGAAGGGTGTCTTGTTATCAAGTCACAAAGACGACTTTTATCGGAAAAATACAAAAGAAATAAATCAGGACATTATTGGCCTTTATTCAGCTGACTGAGAAGCATTTTAAACATCGACACCCTGCCGATCTGAGGGTTTCTCGCTTTCATAAAAACGTAAGGCTTATTACAACTCACACTTGATAAATTATCCTATTCCCGACTTTGAGATCGTGGGGACGGAGCAAAGAGATGTAAGCAGAAAAAAAAAAACGGGAGGGGGGAAGGTTGGGGACTTCGCGCCACGCTCCACTATCCGAACGCCTTGAACAAGCTATTCTATTGGCAAATAAGTGTCCTGAGGTTAACGTCTATAAAAATCTAATGTTTGGGCGAGGAAAAAGTGGCCGTTGTTCGTTGTTGTGAGTTAATCGGATTGAGTTTAACGTAAGCGTTACTTTAAAGTGACCGTATTAAGCGAGGGTCCGTAAAGAGGGGTTGGACTTTACAAGGAAAATCATGGCATATAACCATGTTTACTTATTTCAAATCATTTTAGATTTAAGTTCTATCAGGACTACAAAAGACGAAGAGATGATTCGGGAGGTTGGGCTTAACTGTTTAAATCTCAGAAAATCATATTAATATTTGTCTTTTATGTTCATCTAAGACATTATGCTTACCTGGATTTATGTTCTCCCATAACACTTCAAGATAGCTTTGTCTATCTGATCTGGATTGCTCATGCCAGAAGCCGAGCGCATGCATTAATTCATGCAATATAATTCCTTTGCTGTTACAGCCTTTACCAATTGAAAGTTCCTGCATTCCTTTCTTCAAATATTGACGACCAACCGGTGAAAAACACCTTATAAACATAATTAAAAAAAAAAATTTATACGCGCTGCAATCCCGTCGAGAACGTTTGGCAAATTACAACACATGATCAAAAATCATGCAAGTGTAACTTAATTTGTCTTTCGTATTAGTATGTTAACCAAAATAAACTTAATTCCTCTTTAACATACTGCCCCCCCGCTTATTTAACATAGCTCTTACCCATTTTTCTTCACAAAACGTATCCAGTTTTCGTCCCCTTTTTTCTTCATTCGAAATCGAACGCACGACTTCTTTTGAATCTCTTGCACAGCTTTTAGAATGTTGCTCCACGCTTTTGCTATTGGTGACAACAGATGAGTCAAACAATTTTTTAATTATTGAAAAATATAATGAAGCTGTAAGTGTATATTTTTCTGTTTTGGTGCAGTTTTCTTTTTAAGATCATTTTTTGGCAGAGTAGGAAAAAGCAAGGATTATATTATTTATCACAAGAAAAATCAGTTAGCAAAGCAATGATTTTATAATATCAACCTTCTTCGGAGGTGGGGACGGGGGAAGGGAAATGCTCCGTGCCTACCCCCACGAGAATTTGTTTCTTCAGAGAGCTCTCAGGGGTGGGGATTGGCCGGGGGGGGGGGGGGGCACCCCCCACGTGTAAAGATTTGTTCGCCAACCACACAAATTTGTCCCACCCTTCCCCAAAACTTTTGTTTTTCCTTAACGTTTAATGAAATTTGTCTATGAAAATAAATGGGCCACCTCCTAATGACACGTTTTTCCTAAAGTTGACATAAAAATCAAAAAAAAAAAAACAGATAAAAAAAAGAAATTTTTTAAAATACGCTGCTTGGGGGGGGGGGGGGGGGGGGGGGGGAACCTCCCCGGCGCCCCCCCCACAAGTGTTTTTTTTGCTGGGGGGGGCTGGGGGGGGGGGGGGGGGGGGGGGGGGGGGGGGGGGACACGCTCACAGTTATAGCATTGTTCTGCAACCAGACCAATTTGTCTCATCCTTCCCACAAACTTATGTATTTCCTGTAACGTTACATGAAATTGTCTAGTGAAGTAAAAGGTGCCAGCCTTAAATGACAGCTTTTCGCTAAGTTGGACATGAAATACCTACTCTTCATAACGACTACTTTCCGACTAGCATATACAGCTCTACTGTTTTCACCTCTCCGGGACTTGTCAGATTATTATTGCCCTAAATCTAAGATTAGTCTTGGATTCTGCATGGATTCAACGTTGTGGAGATTTCAAGACCCTGGAGTCCGGATTCCACAAGCAGAAATTTTCCGGACTCTGGAACCACATTAGGGCACGTTCGATATATTAAAATTCTAATATGACTCGAGGCTTTAGGGACAAAATTGCAATTTAATCACTGCTCCATTGTCTTGCAATTCCCAGAAGAGACTTGAGCACAAAGAAAACCAAACCAAATGTAGAAAAATGACCGGAAAGCCTCGGAGTCATGTCAGAGAATTTTAATATATCGAACGTGGGCTATAGGCCGGGGTGATTCACTCTCTTATTGAACTACGGTGTTTTTATATTCTTTATAATCAGCCTTACATGCTCCTGGACCCAGTTCAACGGGAATAACTTTCCTGATCCAAAGATGGCGGCGCGAACTAATGGCTTTACGCTTGGTGACAACACTATCGACATCTACTTCAGCTGTGTCTGTAGAATTGGTGTCACTTGTGTCGACGCCTTCCCTGTCACTCTCGGTTAGCTCAACGTCACCTTCGAAGATATTCTTAAATGTGTTTTCTGTATGGTCCTCTAAAAAAGATGATCAGTTTTGTCTAGCATTATTAGGATCTATTTCTTTCCTTTATTCTACTTCTTTTTTGCCTCCTAAGCGGCAGCGTTCCTCATCTCGGTTAGCAACGCTCCTCGCGTATATAAGGAGATAAATGTCTTTGCTGAAGCACGAAAAAATGCCTCAGGGCGTACAATCAGAAGTAACCCGTTCAGTTGCCGACGGTAACAGCAATTAAGTGAGAACTGAGTCCTAAGGAATGCTAGATATTAGGGTCGGCTACGGGGGTAGTATATACCCAACACCACCCTACGTACCCTTTCTCTCTATTATTTCTTTCCAATATATCCAGACCTAGTACTTGGATAGCGTATACCCTCTTAAATGAAAGATACCGTTGAGCGCCAAAAACTCTGATGGACACTGCAATTTAAACCGTTTATTTTTTGGTCAGCTGATTGGCATAAGTTAAAGAAAATCCCTTATGAAGTCAGCATTGCGAAACGTCTAAATTTATCATCCTTCAATTTGTTACCTCCAACACACAAAGACGCTGTGTAGAGGGCTCCTTTTAGTTTTCTCCTTTATTCAGTTATCATCAAATAAGGTGAATAGTTCTCAAAGCACTCCAGCGCATAGTCTGTGCCAGACTCTCGGTCAGTGCAGACGAGCGAAAAAAGCGACCGGGCAGTGCAATAGCGAAGGAGCGAAAAACGGCGGGAAGAGAGACACTTATCTGTCTTTCCCCAGCTCCCCTGCGTTTTCGCACAACTTTTCTCTATACGCTTTCCCTCCTATCTTAGAGCCTGGAACAGGATATCCAATGCACAGCACTCTGACAGATCAACATCAAAAAACAGTCATTTTTCACTGATCTCCAGCGCCTTACCCCTATTTGCCTTCTCAATGTTGTCCATAGCAGTGTTTTCTTTAAGGCCGCGTGGATTATCTACATAAAAAAAAAAATCAAAACAAATGACTGGCAAAGAGAGGGAGAAAGTAAAAATATAATTGTTTCTAGGCAAAGTATACAGTTGAACCACTCTACAACGGCCACCTTAAAGACACAAGAAAGTGGACATTGTAAAGAGGTGGCCATTGTAGGGAGGTCGGAAATATGAGTGAATGTATGGACTGGCCGTTGAAGATAGGTGGCCGTAGTGGTAAGGTGGCCGTCAGTGGAAGTTCGAAAGTATTATTAATATCTTCAAAATCTTCTTGATATAAGAGTGAATCTTAACTCAAGAAGTTATTCAATTTATCTTGTATTCCGGTTATGCTGGTTAAAATTTGACTTAGCGTTTTTTACTATAAACAAAGAAATCCTACTTTTAACCCTTAAAGTCAAAACAGTGACCAACATCTATCTAAATTAATATATAGTAAATGTTATTAGAAATACTAAAATGATCATCAAAGGCGGGAAATACTTTAACCTTTTATCAAATCCCCTCAGCGAACTCTTGAAGAAATGTAAGGGATCAGTCAAGATCATTTGTATGTGGGTCAGTATCGAAGCTTAAAGGGACCTTTTAAGCCCCAAGAACACCTATCAAAAAAGCAGTAGAATTTCATCGTAAATCTCCATTTAGATGAACTTTGGGTGGTTGATAATGATCCGACATTAAATAATGTTCATAAAACCGGGTCCTTATGTCGTAAGACTTATCGGTGGATGAGTTTCTAAGTACAAGTGGGGATGGTCAGTTATAGATTCCAGACTCCAACAGGTTCGAAAACTTAAATAAAAAATTCACCGTCGTACGTGACCAGTTAAAATAGCTGGAATAGAGAAAATGATTCACTCCCTTTTTAGGAAAGCATTAAAGAACGTAAAAAATCATTATTCAATTTCCTTTATGATCGCCTTCATCATCACACACAAAAGCACAAAATTTCGCATTTCGGTTGCTTATTTGTTTGTTTGTTGAAAGTTAACTGCTCCCAACCTCGCACACAGTTATTTCTCGCTCGTAAGGGTTTGTTATCTTGACTTGTAAGGTGTTTGCTGGCAAAGAAATAACGTTGACTGAATAATTATTGTCGCTGAAAAGCTCTTTTTAAGGGTGTCATTAAAGTTTTAAAGTTAAAGTTGAATAGAAAGAAGGAAATAGAGCAAGAGACCGGAAACTGAAAATTTTCCTAAACCTATGTAAACCTTCTAATGATTTTAAATGAGATACAACAAGAAACTATGATATGGAGAAACTGTAAGTAGAAAATCAAAACGATTTTCATTCAGATACTACGCTATCGCCTCACGGTCAATAAGTACCTCCCCAGAAATGAGGCTTCGGTTTCCCGCCATCAAAATCAACAAATTTCAGCTCAAATTTGTTTTAAAAAATATAGAAGGTACACACCAAAACTAAACAACTAACCGTTTTCAACAATAAGAAAAAGGAAGTATTCAATAAACCGTTTACACTATAAAATAAATAAGGCAAAGAAGCAACAAGTATTTACCGTCTTCATTGACAGCCTCTTTCCACGCAATCGAGTTGGTGAATTCTGCGCTGATCACCAGAACAAGCATGTAAAGAATCATATTGCACGCATGGCAATAAACCATATCTGTCTAAAGTAACATAAAAAGGGAAAGACTATCAGTTTTAAGCTAAAAAACGCTCATGAAAACAAGTATCAGTCAACACGTTAAGCCTATTAAGAAGTGGACGCGACACATGAACTCAAACGGTCTGGCAAACGATTTACTTACAGTTTCACTGGGTAAACAGCGACAATGCTTCACTCACCAATGTGTTGATCAAAAATAAAACTAGAAACTTCTATGCTACAGAACGATGACCTTGGCAGTGTTGTAGTAGCACTCTGAATTTCGTGCCATGTTTTAACCATCTTGCTAAGCCATATAAAATATGAATTAACTTCAATGTCGGTTTTCACTCAAGCGTTAATAGAGATCCTTGTTAACTGTTACTAAAACAGGTTCATGCTCCTCATGCTATTAACATTCCCCCCAGCGGAGAGCATATACCCGGCCAGAATTAACATGCTGTTTCATTACATTAGACAGCGACTGTTGATCATGATCAGGTGTTCTTTCTGGGGAGCCTAAACAGAAGGCCTGATCGCAGGTTACCCGGACATCAAATCAGTTTTTCTGAGATCGTAATGATATCTGACACTTGGATCGTTCACCAGTGATATGACTGACCTTCCTAGTATTCTATAGAAAATCATAAAACGGCAAACTGGTCCGGGGAAACTGATCCTTACAAGGCAAGGCAACGAAGAAGCAAACAAAAGAGTAAAACAAAAAATATATGTTTAAACCAATTTGCCCAATGTTTCGGGTTTGAAAACGAACATTCTTCAGGGGCTAAAAGAAACCTAAACTAAAAGTTCGTTACAAATAAGAGTTTGAAAATATGAAAATAAAAACAATAGATTATTATAGGTGTAGGAGACTAGGCAGTATCGTATATCAACAAGCTTCGTCACTTCTATTTATTCCCAGAGGAGATAATGTGTTCTCTTTGTATATTAAATGAGCCTCCCTAGCCTTTCTAACGGTTGCTATGTATGAGTTCAAGTGGGATAAGAAAATGTCAAACCGAAATTTCGGGCGTATTTGTTTAAACGTATATTTTTTGTTTTACTCTTTTGTTTACTTCTTCATGGCATTGTCGTTTTACTGATGATTTTTTACAAGTATTATTGTACTGATCTAGGCCTACAACTGGGGGATCCGGCGCCACTCAACGGTTTCTAGTATTCTATGCCTGCTCTGGTGACCTGTTTGCAAGGTTTCAAGCCCTAGCAGGTTGTTGGTTCCCTTTGACAAAGACACCCCAGGTGCCAGAAACTTTTCATGCGCGGAAGATCTGTCTGCGGCCGACACCGAAACATCAAGTCGCACGCGAGAAAAAAGATTCTGGTATCCAGGGTGACAAAGACAAATATCAACTACTCAAGCTGAAGTGAAAGACAAATTAGAGCCTTCATGGGCATTACATCCCTCTTCAAATGAATCTTTCAGCTTTGTCTTTGATTTTCCTTTCGTTTGAGTCAGTGCGCGTGTGAAATTGTAGGTTAATACCCATGTGACAGAGGAGAGGAGGGAAATGTGGACACAACTGTTTGGCCAGAGGTCCTTTTAAGCGTTTGAAAACCTGACCCTGATAGCCCACGTTAGATATATTAAAATTAATATTGAAATTGGCTTTAAGGTCAAAATTGCAAATTTTCCACGACTCCATAATCTCGCAATTGACTGGAGCACAAAGAAAACCAAACCAAATATAGAAAAATGATCAGACGACCTCGGAGTCATGTTAGAATTTTAATATATATTAGGACAAAAACATAATCATGTGCAATGGTTATCAAGCCTGTCAGGCTTCCTTGTTGTATACTTTTGTTAGCTTTTTTGGACTTGACCGTAAACAATTTTCAATAGCATTCCTATCATTTTTTAATTTACTGACCAATAGAAATTTGTAAACAAAAAGCAAAGTATCGTGCGTGTTCGTAGAACCCCAACAGAGATGCCATAAACCATACCTAATGGCACTTCATATAGGCCAAATGAGATGCCTCGTTCCACCACCCCTCCACCCACTAAGAGGAACAGCAAATATTTCTAACTACTGTAGCAAACCGTTAGGGGCGCAAAAGGAGAGCAAGCAATGAAACTCATAGATACGACATGGGAGATCGATCAAGAAACAATATACGCACTCAAAGAACATTTGGTTAATAAGAGAAATATTCAAAGAAAAAAAATTGTTATTATGGTCACTCATGAGACACATACGGCAGTTAAAACGGGTTTAGTCGAGGCAGCCATATTAAAGAGAGCTGTTCGCTAACGAGAGAAATTCGACTGTATCGGTATAAACTAGTCGCAAGTTACATACATCACGACCGCTGAATCGTATGAAAAAACAGTTTTTCGCCTTCATATCTTAAAATTTTATTCTTTACACTGAATGTTATATTTTCAAAGAACAACTTTACTCTAATCTGAAGAGTAGAGTATGGCAAAATTAACTAACTGTAATTCTTCTTTAGGTTTCATTCGCAATTCATAATACTGAATTCTATTACTTACAGTTACGTCGTATTGGCACTATATTTGATATATCAGTCACTTATAAACTGAAAGAAGCACCAAACCTTACCTTTACTCAAAGAGTTTGGTAATTTTTGCCAAGCCTTAACAAAAGGTTTGAATAACAGCATAATGCAATGCACAAGGCGCAAAAAATAGTGATTACAAAAACCCTACAATAATTTCTATTCACCACCTATCAGTTTGCAAACCGTTCCAAAACAAAGATCTTTTGATATCAAAAATCGGATGAGGGTGGGCGGTTCGCCGTAACTCAAATATAAAAGGCATTATCGAATTCTACAAAAATAAACGCGAATTTGTTATATCCATTCTCACTATTGGAGATAACCTGCAGGCTGTGAGGGAAAGAATACAATGGCAACTGACATTCTCCACCCACCGAAACTCTTAAAGTTTAGAATTTGAAACAAGCTTTTGTTCAAGGCAAAAAGAAGGACGCTTAGGGAAGTAAATTTCTTCAGCGTTCCTGTTAAACACCTAGAACTTAACGGCACAAAATACTGTTAATTCGTTCCTAAAATTTCCAGTATCGAGAGAATTTTTCCATACAACAGAACGCCTGTTAAAATCTCTAAAAACACAGGAAATTCTCTTTACATCTTACGTAATAATAGGTTGAAAACTTCTACCAATCAGCTATGCTACTGCGTAAAATCACTACTTCAATAAATTTCTTATGACTACTTACTTATAACTTTCGTTCAAATATAATATTTACACTTAAATGTAACCCAACAATCGAGCGTGTTAGTTCAAGTCAATTAAAACATGACATTAAAATTATTCGTTTTATAAAGAAGTTCTCTTGAATTCTGATATACTGCGTAGTAGTAATTTCGAATAAATATCTGC